TTTTTTTTTTTTTTTTTTTTTTTTTTTTGAGTCAGGGTCTCACTGTGTAATTCAGGCTGCCTTTGAATTCACTATGTAGCCCAGTCTGGCTTCGAACTTCCAGAGATCCTCCTGCCTCAGCCTCCCAAGTGCTGGAATTAAAGGCATGCACCACCACACCCAGACCAACTTCTCATTCTTGCCCTATCCTGCCCCACTGTAAGGATCTGGCCAACTAAGGAGAGTGGCCCATGATACACAGGACCCCTGGCTGCTATGGGCCCTCCCCACATCTAGGATACCTGAAGTCTTCCTAGCCACCTGTCAGCACTGGCCTAGGTCCCTTATCATACATACCTGCCATACCCGTAGGACATCTCCCCATACCCGCAGCAAAGTCTCTATTCCTTTTGACTTCCAGGCTCCTTGCCCAGGAGTCCCTTATCCTGGCATGAGTCTACCCCTCACCAGGGCCCTCAAAGAGCCTTGTCTTCTAGGTAGTTGACAGAGGCCCCATCCCTGCTAAGATAGCCATCCTGTGGACAGGGCTCCAGTAAAGTCTGTGGGTTAGCATATATCCATTTAGAGTAGGAGAAGGTGCATCTTGTCACCCACCAGTTCATTATCACCTCTCAATTTCCTGTGCCTCCTGGGAATATGAAGCTGCCCAGGGCCCTCAGTGTGCTACGTGTAGCAGGGAAACTGCTCTGTAGAGCTAGTCCTGGAACTGTGGGGTCTGTGCCAGGCCTGAGGGGTGCAAGGGGAGATGGGATTCATCCAGGGATGACCTCAGGGAGGAGGGGGTCTCTGCATGGAGGAGGAATTGCCTGATGGGTCAGCAGGTGGTGCAGAGGCCCAGGCTTGACAGAGCTGTTCGGAAGCTGTGGGTACCGTACATGTGTGGAGCTGCAAATGCAGAGGTTGGGCTGGGCCAGGTCAGAGTGGGCCCTGGGGCTGCCCAGGAGCTCAGTCATGACATGCCCGGAGGGGAGTCACTGCAGGAACTGGCTCACTCATTGGGAGACTCACATTATAAAGTTGGTCTGGGACCTTCCTGGCAGACTGCAGGAAACAAGACTATTTATTAGGAGCAAATAGGAACTAGACTAGCCAGGCATAGTGGTGCACTCCTGGAATCCCGGCACTTGGGAGGCTGAAACAGGAGAATCACTGTGAGTTCGAGGCTAGTGAGTTCATCCTGAACTACATAGTGTGACCCTGTCTCAAAAAACAAAAAGCAAAACAAAACAAAAAATTGGACGGAACAGGAGAAAATATTTGAAGCACTAGATCTGGGATGCCAGGCCAGGATGCCAGGTGGGTGTTAGTGGAAAGGTACTGGCGCATACGTGGCATTGTAGGCCAGCTCCATGGCCTGGCTGCAGGAGGCAGAGGAGCTGCCACCCTTCTCTGCTCCCCAGCAGTCCCCACCATTCTCTGGCTGGTGGCTCCCAGGTTTCAGTCTCTCCACACAGGCACAGGCCTGACCCGCTCCTAGCCGTGTTTTCTCTACTCTTGACCAACACTGGGTTTATGGGCCCAGAGATAGAGCTTGGGTCAGTCTGTGTCCAGGTGGGTCAGACTCAAAGAGGCTGCTTTCTGAGAAACCGTCCCAGCCTCTAAGCCCGCGGGAAAGCCTGGGCTTCAGAGGACTGTTGCCTTTGCATCTCTCTTTAGGTACAAGGTGGGGCTGAGCAGCCTGGCTCTGTGTGTGACAGTGCATAGTAGTGGCAGCTGGACTTATCACAAGGGTTGAGGGCCTCCTCCTGCATGCTGGAGAGAAGCAGAGGATGCTTATAGATGTATAGCATCCCAGGCATCCTCTGGAGCACTGGACTTGTGTTATCTCATTTAGTTCTCGGGGCAACCTAAACGTGTAAGCAGTATTGGATTCATCTCACAGGAGAAAACAGGCCCTGAGAGGCGAACAGCCTGCCTGAGGTTGTGTATCTCTTAAGTGGGGGACAGGGATTCGCAGCTCCCAGGCAGTCTGGCTGCAGACACCATGTTTTTTTTGTTTTTGTTTTTTGGTACTGAGGATCAAACTTGGGACCTTGTGCTTGCAAGGCAGGCGCCGAAACCACTGAGCTAAATCCCCGGCCCCCAAGACACCATGTTTAACGCCTCCACTGAGTTGTCTGGGCAGTGTGGGATAGAAGGGGTCTGGGCAGTAAGAGAACGTTTCCTCCTCCTCTTGCCTCTTCCTGCTCAGTCGTATGTAGTAATGGAATAGAAACAGGCTCAGTTCCCATCCTGGTAGAGATCATCATCAGAATAGGGGAACTCTGCCAGAACGGGGCAGGGGTGGGGGGCAAGGCACACCGAAAAGGCCTCAGGCCGCAGCTGAAAGAACATATCTCTGCGGTGGACTCCTGATCCTGTTTCTGGCTTCCCACTATTTTGTGATTTGGGCTCTGTGTTGTTGGACAAGTTACTTCCCCACTCTGTGCCTTAGTTCCTTATTAGTACAAAAAGGGCAATAATTCTGCCTGGCAAGTTTGGCTACAAAGAGGGAGGAGTGGGGAGATTCCGGGTTGGGGTTGGAGATGGCCTAAGAGACACCCTGACCACACTTGACCCCTCTGTCCTCTCTTCTTCCAGTGGGAGCGCCTTTGGTTCCTGCTGCTCACCTTTACCTTTGGCCTCACGCTCACCTGGCTCTACTTCTGGTGGGAAGTCCATAATGACTATGATGAATTCAACTGGTGAGTGGGCTAGGGCTCCCTGGCATCCAGTGGAGGGGACCTGGGGACTCGCATTTGAATCTCTCCCCCAGGTTAGCCAGCAAGGCTCTGCTACCATCTCTCTGCAGCCTGAGCAAGACCAGCCTGAACTTCTATCCTGCCCACTTGCAGGGTTTGGAAGACTTCTCAGAGCACTCAGCTTGGGAATGGGCCTTGGAAGGCCTTGAAGGATGGTTGGGCTGGGCCTGTGACCTGAAGAGGCAGGAGCCGAAGCACTGAAGAGATGCGGGAGTACCTCCCTAGTGCCACACCATGGAAAGAAAGAGTGGGATGGGGCTGCACTCAGCCCAGGACTGGGACCTCTAGTCACCCACTTTGTAGATAAAAACTCCAAGCCCCAAAGCTGGATAGGAGGATCCCATGAGTTCGAGCCCAGCCTGAGCTACATTGTGAGTTGAAAGCTGTTCTGGACTGCATAGTAAGACCCTGTCTCAAAAAACCACAAAAAGGGCTGGGGATTTAGCTCAGGGGCACCGTGTCTGCCTCACAAATGCAAGGTCCTGAGTTTGATCACCAGTACCAAATAGTAAAATAAAATTTTAAAACCTCCAGGACCCAGAGAGACCAAGCCTTCTGAAAAAGAGTGTCCCATGCTCCTGGGCCTCCTGGAAAGGGCTGGCAAGATGCCGTAGTCTGGAACAATTCAGACTCCTCCATGGGCAACTCAGGTCCAAGAGCAGGGCTTTTGGAGGCAGGTACCTGGGACAGGAAGACACCATCTCTTTTTCTTCCCTCTCCACTGCCTGCCTTTCATTAAACAGTAAAAGGCCATGAGTCGGGGAAGGGTCCTAGGTGCTAGTGGGAACCTTTTCTTTGACAGCTTTGGAGACCGAGGCCCAGGTCACACAGCCAGGTGGGGGCAGTTAGAGTTGAGAAGCCAGAGCTGCTCCTACCTGTCCTGTGCTGATCAGAAGTTCAGGTCAGTGTGACTATGAACAAGTCATCAGTATGCTCTGAGCCTCTCTCTTTCTCTGTAAAACAGGGTAACTCCAACTTCACCGGGTCATTCTGAGGGCAAATTGGGATGAGCGACATGGGAGAGCTCAGGGCTGCACCCACATGGGATGACTGCTTCCTGGGAGACCAGGTCTCCAGCTGGAAGGTGGCTATGATATAAGAGTATGGGGTTCCTAGGACTTGGACGCTGATAGGCCATGGTTCTGGGATTCTGCGAGAATCCTGACTCTGTTTATGGTATATGGTGTCAGATGTCCACTTTCTACAGCACCAGGCTGTGCCATCATCATTAACAAGCATAATAAATGATCTGCTGCTGTCTCACTCCTATCCCACAATAGCTCAGCAAAATGAGCTGAAGCCCAGCCAAGTCCCAGAGGTGGCCTCTGGTTTTTATTAAATATAATAAATAAATTCTGTAGGTATCCAAAGCTCAGGTACTATTGTGAATCATGGGAACATTCTTAATGTTTCTTGAAGATAGACCCTGGATAGTTCTGCTGAACTGGAAGGTAATGTGGTACAGATGGGGTAATTGAGGCCCCACGAGGAACAAGCTTCAACCAGTCAGGGCCAGAAACATATACTGAGGGCACTCTAAAGCGAACAAAGCTCAGGGAGGTTAAATAGCCTTCACACTGTCACACAGTGAGATGCAGACAGATCTGGGGCAGACACTTGAGCCTGACTGTATTATGTTGTCCGCAGAGCCACCCGCGTTTCCAGAGGGCGCTCCCTGTCACTGAGAGACTCATCAGCGGACAGGTGTCTGCCTTGTCAGGGAGGCTGCAAGGAAAGGCCTGCCTGGGAACCTAGGGATGCCGGGGACCTGCAGCTCCTTGACCTGTCACCTCAGTTTCCTGGGGCTTGGTCTTGGGGTTCAGGAGGGCCTACCCTGGTCTTCATGAGCATCTGGGGTTAGTCCATGCAGCAGAAAGATGAGAGTAAGACCCAGGAGGTCAGTGGAGTGGGGAGGAGAAAGACGGGGAGGTCATCTGGCTGTTGCTTTCCTGAAAGGCTCCTTGCCAAAGTGGTTGTACCTAAGAAACAAGTGTGATCAGAGCATCTTTCAGGAGTAGTTGTAAGTCTTGCTCTTCTATGGGTTTCAGTTTCCCCAACTATGCACTAAGATGAGCATTCTCAGTAATGTCACCCTGGACTCTGTGTGAGGCCCTGGGGACAGGGTCGGGGAGGCAAATGCCCCCTAGGGTTCTCCTGGTGTCCCCTCCTAGCCTTTTGCCAAGGCCCAGGATGGTAACAGGCTGACGTGGCCTAGTGCTGGCTCAGATTCTCTTCACAGCCTTGAGCAAGTTGCTGCCTTTCCTGAGCCTCTATTTCCCTAGTTGTACAAGGAAGATATGCGTGGTTCTGTCTTTGTATCTATCGGGAGCCTTCAAATGTTTGTTCCCTTTGAACTTAATTCTATTTATAGGAATTCTGTAATTCTACTTATAGTAATCTGTCCTAAGGGAATATTCAGAAATATAAAAAGTTATGTACAAATTTATACAGTTTTTTATTGTCATAATAGAGAATACTGGAGAAGTGCCATTAATAAAAGTTGACTATATAAGGCACATGAAGTCAATATACCATGTGGCTCTTTTTAAAAAATCACGTTCCTCAACACTTCACTAACATCAGTAAAAACTTGTGCTGAGAGGTTTTTTTTGAGTATTCACCCTGTGCTTTATCGCCTTTTATCCTCTCAAGACCCTCTGAAGGGCATTCTCGTCTTGTCCTCATCCTGTAGAAAAGGACACTAGGACAGTTACATTTGGTCCATTTCAAGACCCTGTATTTTCACATTTCACACTGAAATCAAATCAAGATAAGCATTACAATCTAGGAATTGGTAAGTCCTGTCACCTCTATAAGGCCCTGTAAGCCAGTAAGAGGTAGAATGGAGACCCAAGCCCAGTGTGTGTCTCACCCAAAGCCATGCTTCTGCCCGCTCTCCTGGGTGCAATGGGGTCCCAGCTTTGCTGTTCACACAAATATATAGGCCTGGGGGACACACGGGAAGACAATCCAGTGTGGTCTTGGTAGCAGTTATTTCTGGACGGTAGAATTGTTCTTGTTATCTTTATGTTTCTTTATGTATATCTTTATGTTTCTTGGGCCCCAGATGTCCGTCTGGCACAGACAGGACTGATGGTGTGGGAATGCCCCACCCCGCCCTGTTGTCTGCCTAGTTGCAGCTCTGTGAGACTTGAGCCCATCCAGGCTCCTGGGCCAGGCAGTGGCCTAGGAGAGATGTGACCCTCTGCCCTTCTCATCCCGCAGGTACCTCTACAACCGCATGGGCTACTGGAGCGACTGGTCTGTGCCCATCCTTGTGACCACAGCCACCGCCTTTACATATATTGCAGGCCTCCTGGTATGTGGGGCTGTCCTAGAGGTCAGGTGGCCTTGCTCCTGGAGAAGGGGGAGGGCCCTGCCCTGGCCTAAATAGGAAGCTGGTGTCACTGCACCTTGAAGCCTAGGTCCGCCAAGGTGGGAGGTTACCTGTTTTGCCAGTGCCCCCCCAGCTGTCCCTTCAAGCCTAGCAAGAGCCATCCCAGCTCCCATGTCACCCTGCATACTGCCCCTTCCAGGAACTCTGCTCCTGATGTTCTCCTCACAGAGACTCAGGCCCGCCCATTCTGGACGGGGACTCCATGGGGCCTGTTTCAGAATCCCAACACTTGATGAATTAAGTTGGACCTTCCAAGTGCAGCAGGTCCTGTGACCTTTTAAGAGAAAAAGATCTCAGAAGGAGCCTGGAGGCCTGGTATAAGCTACAAGGAGGCCAGGCTTGGGCTGGGCTGGATGGGGCTGGGCTGGGCACTCCCATCACATCATTTCCTGACTGTTCTAGGTCAGGCCCAGTCACACATGGGGTCTGACTGCCACCCTGGGGCCACTCCTCAGGTGCTGGCACTATGTCACATCGTCGTGGGGCAACAGATGAACCTGTACTGGCTGCACAAGGTAAGGGGTGCTGCTGGGGCTGGGAGGGGAGGGGGCTGGAGGCCGCACAGTGGAGGAAGAGCCGGGACTCACCATCCTCCCCTGGATCCTGGCTGGAACTGCCCTGGTGGCTCCTACAGCACACTTCTCACAGCCTGGCATGTAGTCACTCATGTACCTGTCACAGCAGCCCTGTGGTGTAGGCTGTCACCATCCCATTTTGTAGGTGGAAGAGCCGAGGTACAGGGAGGTTAAGTAACTTGCCCAGGTCTCCCGGTTTGCAAGTGGAAGGTCTGGGTTTCTAGTCCCACAGCCACATGCTGAACCAGCATAGTTCATGGCTCATTTTGCAGCCCTGGCCTACTGGGGCCTCACATCTGAATTTCCTCTTTGTTCTTCAGTGAGCTCTTTATTAAACCCTGATCCAGTGAAGTAATTTTCTTAAAACCTCTTTCATGGCTCCCAGAGTGACCCAACCCCCACCCCCATGATCTGGCCCTGCCGACATCACCCTGCTCCTGTCAGGAACAGTCCCCTCCACTTCTGCCACAGGAGACACCTCCAGCCTTCCTAACATGCCTGCTTCTTCTCTGCTTCCAGCCCCTTGCTCTTGTGCTCACTCTCTCTTTTAATTCTTTTCTTGTTACTCCTCCCGTGTCTGCACAGCCTTCTCCCCCAGGGCTCCCCGCCCTGGCAGCCTCCTCTGCTACATTTCGGGCATCTGTGTTTTAAGTGTCCATCTGGCTCCCCAACTCCAACCTGTTCTGGTCTGGTGCTCCTTGCAGGCTAGAATTGGCACCGACACTCTTCTCAGTCCAGCACCAAACCCAAGCCCAGGCCCACACCCAGAGCAGGCTTTTTACAAGGCCTTACCACATAGTTGGTGCTGAGTATGGGTCTCTGGTGCCTGCTCTGCATAGCAGGGGAACAAAGGTGGTGCAAACCTGTCCATGACACCCCTGTCTCCCAAGAACACTGGGCCATGGCAGAGGGCCAAATCATCCTTGTTCCCAGAGCCAGGCCCATGGTGGATGTGCCATTTAGGAAGGGACAGAAATGTTCAGAAACAATCATTTGCCCATGAGATGGGGTCAGAGTGACTCCAAAAGAAAGAGCTCTCTCCAGCCAGAAGTGGGACAGGGATCCAGAAGAGGAAGAGGGACTGGTGAGCTTGGGTTGGGCTGTGTGGAGGAGGCAGTGCCTGTGAACAGATTGGGGATACAGGAGACAGGACGGGCTCTGTGGTCAGTTACATGGGTAAGGAGCTTGGGAGCCAGACCCACATGACCAAAGTCTTGCAAGGGTTAAGAGCAACACGTAGTCCTGGTTCTGTTCCACCTTTCTCCTGCTGATCACTCTACTCTGAGGTTTCCTTTGGGGCTTTTGCACCTCCCTCATTGAGGCACTTTCTTCTCCTGGCTGTAAAGCTGACACATGAAAGAACTGCACCAGCTGGCACTCTGGGTGGGGCCGCACACATTGTGGTCACCTCCTGGGGCCATGCCCAGCTCTCAGCAGGCCAGGTCACACCTGCTTCATCCTAGTGGAGTGTCCTGTAGAGCCACTGAGAGAGCCGGAAGTGGTGGATCGATGTAGGGAATAACATCCCCTCCTCTGCCATTGCCATCTCCTCAGGTGTGCTTTCCTCTGCCCTAGCCCCTCCCAGAGATCTGGGGGAGAACTGAACCTAGCAGGAGGGAGAGTAGAGGGCTTATGGATGCTTTACTAAGGACTTGGAAGTGCTCTGGATGCATTCTTTCCAAACTTCTGTCACTGCATTCCAAGATTCTTAGGAATCTATATTCTTTTGTTTGTTCGATTCATTTCTGACCATGTAATACACTGATGTGGTTCAAAACTCAAAAGAGAGAAAAAAAAAGTGTACATGAAAATCTCCCTGTTGTCTTTCTAGAGATATGTGAAGCCCATTCAGAAAACAGAAAACATTTCCTTTTTCTTTTCCTTTAAACATGAATGGCCCAGCGCCCCCGTGCCCTGCCCCTTACAAATGCTTGGAGGACCTCTTCATTGGGTACATTGAGAGCACCGCACAGGTGCCATCACCTGCTCCTGCTCCCTGCTGTAGACAGTCCCTAATTCCAGAGCTGTCCAGCTAGTCCCCTGTAGATGACTCCAATCAGTCCAGTTGCTTCCAGTCCTTCACTACAGCAGTGTGACAGTGACCTGGGAGAGGAGTTTCTCAGTTAAGAACATGTACTTTTATCATTTTGATCTTGCCAAAAAGCCTCTTTGCCAGATGTCACCAGGATGTGCTCCCTTGGCAATGTACGGCCATGCTTATGGAAAACACCCTCACCCATCCGGAGTTAGCTGATGTCTTCATCTTTGCCAGTGTGATGGGTGACAGTGGTTCCTCACTATACTTTTAATTTGCATTTCCCTTAAGATGAGTTACATTTGGCCTTTCTCACAGGATTAAGTCGTTTGTATTTTCTTCTCTAGCAAAGGTCTCTCCATATCTTTTGCCCTTTTTTTCTGTGGGATTTGCTCTTTGCTTATCAATTTGCAGGAGATCTTTATAGATTTGGAAATGGGCCTTTTGGCTGATGAACTGCAGATAATTTCCCCTAGTTTGTCATTCATCTTTTGGCTTTGCTTATTGTATTTGTGCCATAGGGATTTTAAGAAATTACTGAGTACTTGAATTTCTCACCTCTTCTTCTGGCCTCTGGTTTTTTTGTCAAACTTGGAAAGGTCTTTCCCACTCTGAGATTATATAAAATTTCTCTGTGGCATTACTTGGTAATTACATGTTTTTACTTCTTTTAACATTGAAAAAAAAATTTTAAATCTGTTTTAGAAGTTATTTTGGAGCATGGTGTGATCTTACTTAGTTCCTTGTAGATGGCTTCCCAGTGTCCCCAGCTGTCTCCACTGAGTAAGCCAGCCTTCCCCTCTAATCTGAGATGCCACTTTGATTATATACTATATATTTTAATACATTCAGAGCTAGTTATGAACTTTTTACTTACTGTCATTTATCTCTCTGGTCTTATACCAGTATCAAGCTGCTTTGAAGGCTGAAGTTTTAATCATGACCTGTATTTTGAGTCCCTGGTTGCCCTGAGTCCTGAGGAGTAAAGGCTCAAGATGCTCAGAGTGGGTGGGGAGCCATCTGGGCTGAGGCCTGGTGCTGTAGGTTGGTCCGAGAGCCCTCCTGGGGACTTCCCTTCTCCTCCCCAGTCACCCAGAGCTCCTATCTCCCAGAAACCTATCCCTCCCCAACCAAGGTGAGCTTCCAGGAAAAGCTCAGGGCCAGGAATGAAGGGGAAATTGAGACTTTATGGGAGGTAAACAGGAAACCCTCTCCTGAGCTGTCCCTTCTGGCCACATCTACCACCCAGAATCAGTTCAGTGCCACCTTTAGGGGGCTCTGGTCATAGCTCTCACCTCCCAGACACCCTGTCATAGCCCAAGCAGCCTGTACTGCTCCCATCTATCATTTCTTTTCTTCCCTGCTGCACAGACAGCAGTGGCCACTGAGGCCTGCACAGAGGAGGGTCTGTCAGCGACCCAGAGGCCACAAACCGAGGCCAGGTGAACTGGGCTGATCCTTTGCCTCCAATGCAGGCTTGATCCACACCTCTGCCCGCTTTCCCACCATGCCCACTTCATCAGCCCTTCCAGTGAATGAAGACTTCTCCTCAATGACTGGCCCAAGCTCCACAGTTCTTGCTGGTGTCCAGCCTGTCTCCCTCCGGCAGTAGTTAAGGAAGTCATCGCACTAATCCATCCACTCTGCACATAACCCTATTCAGCTGAGAGCACTTACCTGTGGCAAGCATTTCCTGCTGGTACAACCTCTGTACTAAGCATTTCATGCATTTTCTTATTTATCTTCTCCAAATCCCTTCCAGGTAGACACTTACCATCCCCATGTCCCAGCTGAGGGAAGCTCCCTTGAGAAGGTCCCCTCCCCAAATGCATGGAGCCAGGATTTGGATCAGGAGGTAACTCAAGTGTGTTTTTTCACCTTGGGCCACTGTCTGCCACTGGTACCCCAGAACCCAGAGGCCAGATACCCCAAGGAGGCCATCCTGTTGCACCACTGCAAGGCTAGGTTCCAACTGCTGTCTGGTCCTGACCCCCAGGCAAGACTCACTGAATGAATGAGGACTGACTGAATGAATGAATGAACATCCCACTGCCCCCTCCACCCATCCTGTTGCCATCACAAACCATAGCCCCAGCAGGACAGAAAACCAAAAGACCAGTATCTCAGAGGAGGACCATGGTCTGTTTCTAGGGCTGTATCCTCCCCAGTCAGCTGTAAGTACGGGAGCACAATGTTACAAGTCAGTGCTATCACTGTGCTTTATGGACATGATGAAGGGAGGAAATCCCACACTGAACATTGAGTGTGCTGCTGAGCACTATGGTTACCACTGCAGCAACTATAAAACCTAGAGATGATGAAGTTTTAATTGTATTAAGATTATAAGGAATTGGTTTTATTGCAACTATTTTCCCTGGCTGTTGTGCACACAGAAACAACCCTTCAGGGATGCCCGCTATCTCCCTGGCCACAGAGGGCAGATGCCTGGAGGGGAAGTGGGAGGAGGGATGTAACCTGGATGCCTAGGAAAGGGCTTCTCAGGATGGGAGAAGCCTCCCAGAGACTCCTCACCTCCCTGACTGCAGCCTAGCCCTGAGGTGGGCAGAGGCTGTTTGTTTCTGGACCTGCCCCTGCAAAGCCGTGAGGCCAGGGAAGCAGGCCACATGTTCCTGGGTGTGAAATGAATATAGGACCTCATGTGGGACATCAGACGTACACCTGAGGGACACCCTGAAGTGCTCTCACAGACCCAGGCACACACACCTGCATGGCCTTGTCGCAGCCCATAGAGACCCTCAACTTTTCTCAGCCTTGTTAACTATTTCTTAGGGAGGTGCTTGTTTCCATGCCAATGAACTAAAGTATCAAGGCTCCAAAGGAAAACTTAATCCCAGGCAAGAACTCATCTCCCCTGCCTGGTGGGGAGCAAAGACAGACAGGCTACGTCTCTGCCTTCATGTCTAGAAAGTCCACGTGGCCCTTGCTCAGTTGGTGGAAGCTCTCAAATGCTGCTGCCCAGAAAAGGTTTTGTGGGAGGAGATGGGGGCGTGAGGACCTTGTTGGCAAAACAGATTGATGGGAGCAAGGAGGTGAGCAGTGCCCTGGGGGATGAGTCTGAGAAGCCAGCTGGTAATGTGTGTGGCCTTGGTGGGCCTTCAGAAGAGTAGGGGCTTCAGGATGCTGGAATAGAGGGGTGGCTGGGCTGAGGGAGCAGGTTTGGAGAGGTGGAGAGAGTGGGGAGGCAGACCAGGGCTCCTGGGGTTAGTGCTGGGAGCTCGGTAGCAGGAAATGTGAGCTTAGTTTTATTTGGTTAAGGGTTTCAAGTGCCATCTGTCCCCAAAGAAATATGTCCCCTGAAGATTTTCCCTGGTCCTCTGTCACAGCTGTGGTCCTGGTTTTCTGCAGGAACTGCGGAAGGCAGCCTTATAATACACCAGAAGCTGGATGCCCAGAGGCTGGGGTTGGTGAGCCTGGGAGACAGTGCCAGAGGGCAGTCCTTCCTCACCCCTTGCTTCTACAGGAAGTGCCGCTAGGTGGCCCAAGGAGACCCTCTGGGCTTCGTGTTTTTCCGCCTCATCTCGTCTTCTCTCCACCTTTCCTTCTCTTCTGCTCTGTCCTTTCCTCTCAGGTTTGGCCTGCTCCTCTGTCTCTGGCTGTCCCCTCTCTCCCTGTCTTTGGCTGTCCTTCAGCCCATGCCAATCACTTTCCTCTTTCCTTCTGCCCTGCTTCATCCTCCTTTCCTGCTGTGTCCATCTCTCCCCATATCTGTCTCCTGGGCTCTCCCTTGTCCTCCTTAGATACAGTAGGGCCCCTCACACCTGCTCTGACCCTCTCTGTGCTGCTTCCCCCTTCCAGATTGGGCTGGTGGTCATCCTGGCCTCCACAGTGGTGGCCATGTCATCAGTGGCCCAGCTGTGGGAGGACGAGTGGGAAGTGCTGCTGATCTCCCTGCAGGTAAGCAGGGAAGGAGGTGGGGAGACTACTCCAGAACCCTTGCAACGGGCCATGCCTTTTACTACTCCTGCTTCTCCACACCAAGGCCCAGAAAGGGGGAGGGAAGAGTCTAGGGTCACACAGCAAGCGAGAGACAGGGAAGATGCTACAACCCGGGGTGACTGGATTCCCAGCATCCTCAGCTCATGAGTGGAGATGAGGTTGCTGAATGGACTGTCAGTATGCTGGTGACCTGATTTAGGCAGGGATGGGAGTCCCAGGGCCTTCCTGTCTCCTCCCACATGTAGGGCACACTGCCATTCCTGCACTTGGGAGCCCTGGCTGCTGTCACAATGCTCTCCTGGATCGTGGCAGGACAGTTCGCCCGTGCAGAGCGGTCCTGTGAGTACCATTCTGTAAGCCCTGCCCTTCTTGCTCCCCACGGTACCAAGGCCAGCCTGGCCTGCCCCTCTGGGACTTTATCCCACTTAGCCTGCATCTCACTGGGGATGAGGTGGGGCTTCTGAGCTCAGCACGGGGTCTGGCTCAGAGTGGCCACAGATGCCACTGAAGTTTGCAACCTCTGCAGCCTCCCACGATACTCTTCCTCTGAGTGTCCGTGACTGTGTGTGCACACGTGTGTGAACTGAAGGTGGGTCTGCCTTCCTACCAAGAGTGGGTACAGACCACCTGGTCCTGTCTCCCACTCTGGCCATCCCAGGCTTGTGGTGGGTCCAGGAAGGTATCGAATGGCTTACAGGAGGTGCTCACGGTCTGTGTCTGCAGCTTCGCAGGTGACCATTCTCTGCACCTTCTTCACTGTGGTTTTTGCCCTCTACCTGGCCCCTCTCACCATCTCCTCTCCCTGCATCATGGAGAAAAAGGACCTGGGCCCCAAGCCTGCCCTCATCGGCCATCGTGGGGCCCCTATGGTGAGTGCCACCTGAGTATCCTAACAGACGGGATGGGGTGGGTACATCTGCCATTCCAGGGAAAGATTTGTGGGCAAATTGGGATGACATAAAGACAAGGGTCATTATTAGCTCTCTGAGGAGGCATATGGGAAGGACTGGTACAAAGGCCTGGAGAGGCTGGACGGCACCAAATCCTGAAGAACCTATAGATGTCCTACGGACCCTCCAGAGATACAGGAGGATTTCAGCCTAACACCAGCTCTTGGGGTAAGAAGACCTGGAGAGAGCTCCTGGTTGAGGGTCTGGGGCCAGGGACAAGTGGCAGGAAGCAGTCAGGCCATGGTGCAGGAGAGCTAGGATATAGCTCAGTCAGCTGCTCAAGGGAAGACAGTTGAACCGACTCAATAGAAAAGAGATGACAAAGTCTAAGTTAGCACCCTGTTCTAACACCAAGCTGCTGTGCACTCCATGAGAGAGCTGAGGTTGGGACAGCCGGCAGAGCTGTGCTGCCTGGGCAGAGCCAGCTGGGCCTTCGTCATGGTGCAGCACAGACAACTGCTATCCTCCCTGTGCTTGGTTCCCTCATCCTGTGCGATAGGAAGAGCAAGAGTGCCTGCCACAGGGTGTGAGAAGCGGAAGTTGGCACAGGTGAGGAGCCCAAACATAACACCTCAAAAGCCCTTGCTTCTCAACAGGGGCAGTACCGGTTCTCACCCCGAGGGGGCACTTGAGACTTCCTGAGAGTTTGCTGTCGGGATTTCCAAGGTGCCATCAGAGTTCAGGGAGGTCAAGGGGAAACACAGAGACATTGTTTTAACAGGATACATCTGAGCTGGGATATAGCTTAGTGGTAGAGTGCTTGCTTAGCATTTGTGAGGCTCTGGGTTTGATCCCAGCATCAAAAGAAAAACAAAACAAAATAAACAAAACCAAAAAAGGATGTGTCTGATGGGGCTGTAGGTCCTTCCTATTGCATGAGGTGGGCATTATTTTCTAGGTAAGAGTGAGTCCTATGGTCCTAAGCTGGCCCCTGGTACCCTCCCATCAAACCCCACCTTGGTCCTGGCACCTGTCAGAGTCGTCCAGTTGAAATCTGGACTTGGTGTCCACTTTTGCCACATGCTTCCTGTATGTCTTAGAGAAATCAGTCCCCTGTTAGCCTGAGTTTTAAGGATACCCGTGCTGCTGGCTACTTTGAAAACTGAGAAGGGCTGCCCAAGGAAGCAGGCCCAATGTTGGGGATGGGCAAGCAGTCTCACTGGCTCTGGAGGCTGGGGGACAAAAACTACCAAAGCAGGAGAGAGAGCAGAAAGGAAAAGGAATTGGTCCCAGAAAGGATTGTTTCTTTAGCAGAAAATTTTCAAACATACACAGGAGTGAGAAAGATAATTCAGCCTATCATGAAGAACCATATAAAGAATATATCTTCTACATTTATTGACATTTTGCAATTCTTGCTTCATTGGTCCTATTTTTTCTCTGCTATATTTAGCAAGCCCTAAATGACATACCATTTCATCCATACATACTTCAGGCTGTATCTCTAACCATGAGGGTGTTTTCTCAAAATATAACCACAATGCTATTATATATACTCACCCAAATTAACAGTATCTTAATATTATCTACTATCAAATCTGTGTTCAATTTTCTTCCGTTGTCTGAAAAATACATAGTTCAGTTGTTAAGAATCAAGATCCACATGATATCTACAGAGTGTCTGGTTGATGCATATCTCCTGAGTATCTTTTAGTCTGTAACAGCCCCCTGCCATTTTGTCCTTTTTGCTATTTGTTGAAATGACTGAGTCATTTGTCCTGTAGACTTTTTTACCTTTTGCATCTGGCTGGTTACATCTTTATGGCGTTTATTTTAGAATTAATTTATTTGCTTTAATTGATACATAGTGTACATATTTATGGAGCACAATGTATTTCCATACATGTATATGATAATGACAACTCATGGTGATGAGCACTACCTCAGACATTTATCACTTCATCATTTGGGGAACATTCAAAATCCTGTCTTCTCTGAGAGGCTAAGGCAGGAGGATGGTAAGAATTAGCCCAGCCTGGGCAACTTAGCACATTAACGTGACTCTGTCTTAAAGTAAAAGAAAGGACTGGAGGTGTAGCTCAGAGTGAAGGACCTGGGTTCAATCCTCAGTATCATGCACACACAAAAAATGTTTTTCTTTCTTCTGGCTATTTTGAAATATACAGTAAATTATAATTTACCATAGTCAGCCTATGTCCGTAGGATATCAGAACTGTCCATCTTATCTAACTGTAATTTTGTATCTGTTCACCAGCCTCTCCCATTCTCCTGCCCCTGTCCTTCCCAGCCTCTGTTCCTCTACTCCATTCTACTCCTATAAAAGCAACTTTTTAGTGGTGACTTTAGAGGAGCCAGCCTGTCCGTTCCCCGCCATGTCCATGTGAACACACGCTTGTCCGGTCCACACTCTGTATCTGCACATTGGTCCTCTGGTTACAGCTCTGTGTGTTAATAACTCAGCAGTAGGTCCGAGACACCCTGTCTTGGGGACTGCACCTGTGGGCCTGTGCACACTTTCCTATTTTGTGGGACTAGGTCCACAGTGGGGAGTCATAACCATGGTGTCCTGCTTCCTAAGCACTATCCCCATACCTGTACACACCCTCCTGACAGCAGATGCCACCCCTTGGACTGCTTCAGGCGGATGGGAGCTCTGGGACAGGGGTTGAGAATTCACTCCAGAACTGCTGCATATCTTGGGAACCTGCCTGGAGCCCTGGAACTGGCAAGAGAAGGCCAGGTTTCTACAGCTCTAGGAACCCAACACCTAACCCAGAGAGACCTTATCAGTGTAGAGAAGCTTCCAGAAAAGAGACTGTCCCCTCCCAAAAAGTTTGCCCCCCCAAGTCTTTGTAGCCCCTTCTATTCTCCCAGGTGGCCTGTGGGAAGGGACACTGGCACTTCCTAGCAGTCACTGGTCAGGGAGACAGTCCCCACTCCTAGGGACTGGGATCTCACACTGTGGGGGACAGATGGCACATCCCCTAAGCTGCTGTGCTCCAGGAAAAGAGAAAGGGACTTGCATTATAGGGTCCCTACTGTGTAGGGCTCTGGCCTGGGGTCTCAGACACCTGTTTTCTCACCTAGGAAGTGTAAAACATGAGCCTATTTCACAGCTAAAGAAACCAAGGCCTGGTGGCCCAGTAGGAAATGGGATTATTCCTCGGTCAACTCCAAAGCCCTTGGTCTCCCCTGGCTCCCTGATCCCAGGCTGCTTCCCAGAGGCGTGGGTGTACTGAGCTGGGGAACAGTGTGGCCAGACGGGGAGAAGGTGGGGATGATCGGCCTCAGGACTCCTTCCACGCCATTCTTTCACTGGTGAGGGGTTGCTCTCTCCCTGTTGTAGATCCCATTGGTTCCTGGTCTTAACCAATCTCTGGGTTGGTGCTGACTTCCAGTGGCAACAGAGGGGTATGGCAGTATCTCAGACCACATGGAACCAGGCAGAGAGGCTTAGAGCCCAACTCTCCAGCCCAAGGATCCTCAGAGAACAGTGAGCACACATCCCCAAGAGCAGATGGGAAACAGGTCCACAGGAGGGACAATTCAACCAGGTCACAAAGCTAGCTAACACAAAGTCTAGAGTGAACTAGGTTCCTCTGATTCATGTGTCATTTATTAAGTACTTTCTCCATATAAGGACTAGGCTAGGGGATTTTAATCCAGGTGGCCTCCAGCATGGAGAGCATTGTTCCTGTTTGATGAGGGCTTTTATCACCCAGTGAAACTCCATCCCATTCCCTCTCCCTCCAGCGTCTCCTGGACTGAGCTCAGGGTACCAAGGTATGAAAAAACCTCCTGCTACCAGTATCTAGCTCCAAGCCTGGGATACACCAAGAGTGGCATAATGATCAGAGTTACTATTTATTAGTGCTAGTTTTATGTCAGACATTTGTATTTATTCACACTAACCACCCCTTCCTGCCCCTCCCTCCAAAACCTTCGAAGTGGATGTGATTTAATAGATGAGGAAACTGAACTTTAGAGAAGCTGAGTGGGCATCCAGGATGACACAGCTCCTTGGTGGAGGAGCTGGATTAGAACTCAGCCTACCCAGCCCTCCAGCGTGGAAACCTTCCCCGGCTGGGAGGTTATATCCACTGACGTCGGGCCCTCCCCTCCTCACCCCTCCTCTCCAGCTGGCTCCAGAGCACACACTGATGTCCTTCCGGAAGGCCCTAGAGCAGAAGCTGTATGGGATCCAGGCTGATGTCACCATAAGGTAGGCATAGGGGAGGGAGGGTGGCACCTCTTCCCCTCCCTACACACTTGTACCTGGTCTCTGGGGGTGGAGCCTCCTATCCTGGAGCATTGGAGGTGGGAGAATGAAGGACATGGTGCACGCTGCAGTAGGCTGTGTGTATCATGGAAAGCTCTGTTACTGTATTTTTCTTTTAATGTATGAGGGTGTTTTTTGTTTTGTTTTGGTTTTTTCTAAACTAAAACCTCAGTATTCAAGTTTAATTGTAGTGTTGGCTCTATGATAAATAAGTGGGTTTGGGGTTGAAGTTTGGGCACTTGTCTCTAAAAGGGTCACCATCACTGCTCTAGGATATAAAATAGAGGCAACACCAGACTTCTCTCATTTCATGCTGGGGACCTGGAGCCTACCACAGAGCCATTTGAAGGAAGATTAGATCCATGTATCTCTGCAAGACAGAGCTCAACCATGTGGATAAGAAAGATTAGCAAGTTGCAGAGCACGACAGTCATTATGATGCCAGCTATGTTTTAAAAGACCACACTAAAGGGATGTGTACATTTTCTATCTGTAGATAGATAAATATGAATTAGTATAGATGGCAGGAAGAATTCACCACAATCTCTTAAGAGAAGTTACTTCTGGGAAGGGGAGAGGAGCAGGGCTGCTGTGTATAGTTACACAGGTTGTACGCAGAATAAGGAAATCACATTATAAAATACGGGCACAAAACAAGGCCACTGTACCAGTGTAGATGTCATACGATTGTGTGTATGACACTCTAGCAGGTAGTGGAAAGATGCCCTGAGGAATGAGGGTCTTTTGGTGTTTTGCTCTAAGGCACCGCCTGAGCATTGGCAGCCCTGCTGGGACAGATAAGGATGGTAGTAGGAGTGGAACTTGTCCGAAGGCCCTGCACTTGCACCATTTTCATTATGGTATCACATGGACTAGGTTCCAAGCCAGATTCCACCACTTACTGCTGTAGGCCTTGAGCTTAATACTTTCCTCCGCTGGCCTCAGTTTCCTCATTATCAAATGGGACAGCACCTCCTCTCCAAGGAGGCAAAGATCAAGGCCAGCCTTTTCCCAGCCCTCCCTCTTGGCATCCCTACCCCCACCTGGACCCAACAGAGAGCCCCCTGAAGGTGGGGTGCCTGAAGGCCAGGGTGGGGTAGGCTGCCCAGGGCCTGCAAAGGTGGGCAGGTGTGAGGGGCTGGTCACTGGTGGGCAGGTGAGAGCCCTGGCTGGGTAGTGATGGCAGCTCCTCCCTGCAGCCTGGACGGTGTGCCTTTCCTCATGCATGATGCCACTCTGCGGCGAACCACCAACGTGGAGCAGGTGTTCCCGGAGCTCGCCCGCAGGCCCGCCTCCATGCTCAACTGGACTGTCCTGCAGAGGCTCAATGCTGGCCAGTGGTTCCTGAAGGTCTGACTGTACCTGGGCCCCAGCCTGGGCTCAGAGAACATGGCAGGGACCCCAAGCCCAGTGAGGGTGGCGGGTGCCCATCCGCTCAGGGGCAGTCCAGCCAGGCTGGGTTAGGCGCCTCCTTTGGGCTCTGCCACTGCAGCCTGCAGACTTGAGTCTGTCACTGCTTGTTCTGGGACTGTCTCCCTCACCAGGAAAGGCAGATGGGGAGGCTGTCAGTCTGGGACTGTTAACTGTGACTGGAGGGAGGTGCCTGCCTGGTCTGACCTGCTGTAAAGGAAGAACATGCTGGGGCCTGGAAGGCACTCCAGTCAGGTCATTCTCTCTGCAGCAGGTATGGGATAGAAAGGTGAGGACTGGACGCTCCTAGGTCCCCACAGGGCCACAGCCATTCGTCTGACACACACCAGAGGACACTGGCAGCCGAGGGCCTCCACATTTGGTTGCCAGGTAGTCTCATGAAGACTCCAAAGGGCTGGTGACACAGCACATGTCCTTGTCCCTACCAGACAGATCCCTTCTGGACGGCCAGCTCCCTGTCACCCTCTGACCACAGGGAGGCCCAGAACCAATCCATCTGTAGCCTGGAGGAGCTGCTAGAGTTGGCCAAGGGCAACGCCACGCTGCTACTCAACCTGCGTGAACCACCCCGAGACCATCCTTTCCGCAGCAGCTTCATTAATGTCACACTGGGGACCCTGCTGCGCTCCGGCTTCCCGCAGCACCAGGTGAGCCTGGCTTGAGCCAGTTCCAGCAGGAACCTGACCCTCTCCAGGCCTTCACATCTATCAAATGAGGGCTGCACACCACTCACCTCCCTGATGGGGTCTTGGCGGGGGCCACGGGGAACAAGACAGACTTTTCAGGTGTTCAAGGGCAGGAGCAGATCCAGGTTCTCCAGTTACCTCTGTAGAGTGCTGCCCATATCACTGTGGTGTAGGATTTGGGACCAGTCTTGATGCTGGTGGCCACACGCAGAGTGATGGTTGCTTGGGTCATCCATCTTTTGACAATCATCCTGAAGGGAAGCTTAATTGTTTCTGCGTCCCTGCTCAGATCCCAGTGTCCTGTGCTGACGATCCCACCGAAGCAGTCAGCATTCACTGTGGGCCAGGTCCCCCCGCCCCCGCAACCCTGCACATCCCCTTGTAGGGGTAGAGACTCTTGTCTGTGCCCCCTTCCCACAGTTTTGCAGAAGAGAAACCTGAAACACACACACACACACACACACACACACACACACAAACATCTGCGTCCACCTCACCTGCAGGTCATGTGGCTGCCTAACAGACAGAGGCCCTTTGTGCGAAAGGTGGCTCCTGGCTTCCAGCAGACGTCAGGCTCCAAGGAGGCAGTGGCCAGCCTGCAAAGAGGCCACATCCAGTGGCTGAACCTGCGCTACACTCAGGTGTCTGCCCAGGAGCTCAGGTATCTTCCTGTTCAACTCTCAGGGCACCCAGGGAGGTGGGAGTGAGTCTCCTGTCACTCATGCAGATGGGCAGAGGACTGGGCACACTGGGACTTGCCTTGAGCATGATTCAAAGATGAGAGATGCAAGCTGGGGTACAGCTGGCTTTTCCTGAGAACCTGGCCCTCTGGATGACAGGCCTTCCTCCAAGGAGAGTTGTGAGGGTTGGGGTGTGTGTGTGTGTGAAGGGGATGCACTTTACTGGCTTCCCACACTGGGAAGCAGCTGGAGCCTGAGCCAACCAGCCTCTGTCCCTGCCCAGGGACTATGCATCCTGGAATCTGAGTGTGAACCTCTACACTGTCAACGCGCCATGGCTCTTTTCCTTGCTGTGGTGCACTGGGGTCCCATCTGTCACCTCCGACAACACCCACACCCTGTCCCAGGTGCCTTCCCCACTCTGGATCATGGTGAGTTGGAGGTGGCTGAGGGCAGAAAGCACCTGGGTGGGGGTGGGGGTGAACAGTGCAGAAAGCTGCCTGTGGCTGGCCCAACCCTTGGTGAGTTCTGCATACGGGTCACTCCCTCGAGAGGTCTGGAGTAGGGGGCGTGCTGAGGGTGCAGGTTGGGAGGCATAAAGATCTTCATGGCCTCTGGGATCTGTACTCAGGTTCTGGAAGGACCCTGGGCCTGACCCACAGGGAAGAACACATCCCTTAGGAGCCCTTGAGAAGTAAACAGTTTGGGGCTTGGGGTGTTTATATCTGATTAAGGAAAAGAGGGGCACAACAGAAGAAGGCAGAGAATGTTAAAGTGCTGAGAACAGTGAATCAAACCATTAGAGTCGGTCAGCTGAGCACCTGCACACAGGCTGAGTTCGTCTTGGGCTGCCCTGAGCCTCCTTCTTTCCCTGGGGACATGGAAGGCAGACAGAAAGCTCCTGTGGCTAAGAGGGTAGCAGTGTCAGCGAGTCAGATCTGCATTACGGATGGTTTCATGGGGAAGGGGAGTATGTCCAGGGGACCAGAACAAGACTGACAGGAATGAGAACTTGCAAGGGCAATGTCAGAGGAGTTTCTGAAGGAGAGCAAGTGGGCACCTGTGCCACTCTCTTCAGCTGCTAGAATCCATCACTCACGCTTTGAAGCCCTAAAGACCCTGCTCTTCAGCTGTCACCTGCCTATTCTTTATGAACTGCCCAAGTGTCCACTAGGGTGACACGAAGGAACTCACTGAGCAGCAGTGAACAACAGGCTGGAGCAGTCTACCACAAGGTGTTGCCCAACAGCAAGAAGCGCCCCTTCCTCCTGCCTTTTTAGGCCTCCCTGAGATTGAGGACTGAGCAGGCTTGAGGCTGCTTGTGGACTTTTGTCCTGCCCATCCTGTGTTCCCCACTGAGGGGCACCAAGCCCACGGAGGGACATACATACCCCATACAGGTGCCGCATGCACTCATTCACATGTTCACGTGGCCACCTGCTAGTTGTGTCACAACCTCACACTCAGATACAGCACCTGTGTCATCATTCACCTCTTGCTTGGTGCTCTCTTAAACACATAAACCCGCGAGGCTTAACACAACACTTCTACCTGTGTATGCACACACACGTGCTCGCATACAATACCCACCCCTAGGCCTACAGAGCCCAGAGCCCACTCCTGCAAAGTGAAGTCTTACACCCTCCAGCCTCCCCTGCCCTCCTTGATGGTCACATGGGGTCATCCAGCCCATGGACCCTCTGTCTGGATGGACCATGACTAGAAGCTGGCCTCGGGCCATCTGTCCACAGCCCCCGGATGAGTACTGTCTCATGTGGGTCACCGCCGACTTGATCTCCTTCACCCTCATCATTGGCATCTTCGTGTTCCAGAAGTGAGTAAGCTCTGACACAACCGTGGTTTTCCCCACCCTTGGTAGGCCCAGTCCCCACTCCAGCCAGACAAACCTGAGCCCTGAGCCCCTGGCCAGGAAAAGGCCTGACCAGGAGAGAAGTCCAAGGCCCTTAGGCTCTCCTCCCTCAGGCAGAAGTTTCTGGAATGAACACAGCCGATGCCCAGAGCCAAGCTCTACTCTTGACCTGCTGTGTGGACTTTGGCAAATTCTGGCCTCCTGCAGGCTTGCTGCTCACTTGTTAGCCAGGGTATAGGTTCCCGGCAGCACTTGGCGCTCACTGTGCCAAGCGAAAATTCTCCCCACCCCTCAGCACGGCCGCTGGGATGTGGTTCCAGGGTGGTGAGGGTGGTCCGTGGGAGGGTTGGGGCCAGCCGAGAGCCCCTACCCAACGAGGAACCCAGGGGCCCGGATTTGATTCTTGACTGATGTTCTCTCTCTGTCCCATCCCGCTCTGATCGGCGCATGTCCCTCTCTCCCCTCCCCCCTCTCTGCTGCACTCTGGCATCTCACAGCTATCACTTGATCAGGTAATTCTGGTGTGGTTCTCCTCCTCCTGTTCCTTTCTCCCATCTCACCACCCCCTTCTCCAGTTCTGTCTGAAAACCTGCTGTGCACCAAGCCCCATGCAGGGTCACCCTCAAGGAAAACCCCCTTGCCTGAAAGCTGTACTCATCCTTCTCTCCCTGCAGTCCTCTTCTCTGCTCGTCCCATTTTGCTGCTCTGTCCTCTACTTTGTCCTCACTGCAGTTTCCGCAGGTGAGGACCAGCATTTCCTTAACATGTCCCTGGCCCGGCCTCCCTCAGCACCTATGTCTCCCTTGGGGAGAAGATCCCTGACTGAGCAACCCTGTCCACACGTCCAACAGATACGGGGGTCTTCCTACCTGCACGTGAAGACCCCAAGTCTCTGGCTCTCTCTCCCTGTTGGGTTCTGCCTCTCTGGACTCTGCTTCCTTGTCCATCGTCCGTGCTGCCTTTCTCTCCCATTTCTTCTCTTTTTCTATTTTTGTCTCTGACTCCCACTCCCACCCCCACCCCACATCCTTTGCCCCATTGGGAAGGCATACAATGGCTCCCTGTCACCAATGTGCCTGCCCTGACACCTTCCTACTGGGTTTTAAGGTTCTAGGAATCCAAGTCCCCATTGGTCATCTGCCTTAATTAGGCTCTCCTGAGTCCAGCAGCTTCAGTGGCCAACTAGTAAGAAGAGAACCTGTTCTCTGGTGATTGGAAAGAGTCTAGTGAAGGGACATTTAGTCATCGATCTTTGCATCCACAGACTTGGCAGATACCCACATATGCTGCCTGTGATGCTGGGCCCATCAGATACTACCAGGGTTGCCCTCTGGGGATCAAGAGCAGCTCACTGGAGAAGGAAACCTGGGAGACAAGGTGGGGTGGGTTCATTTCCCTGGAGGCCTCCTTTGTACATTTATTCACACAACAAATACATATCCAGCATGTGCAGCATGGCAGGCACTGAGGTTGGGGCTGGGAGCCCGGCAATGACTAAGGATTCATACGGCAGCCATCCCAGCCAGGATACAGGGGCCTTCCCCTCAGCCTCCTGCTTTTTCCTTGTCTGTATGTTCTGTCCATCCATCTGTCTGTCCATTTCTGCTATGCTGACCCCCATTTAGAAAGTCACAGTTGATTCCTTGTGCAGTCTTGGCTTCCTCCACCCACCCAAGCAGGGTTCAGTCCCCTGGAGAGAGGAAGTTGTTTCCAAGATGTCCATTTGTTCCCTTTGGTGGGCCAGGGACGGGGAGGTCCGTCAGCTTTCTGCCCCAGTCCTAGGAAAAGCTCAAGTTCAGAGGCCAGGGATTTGGGGGTAGTCTGGAAGAAGTACTACTGCAAAAACAATACCCAGGACTGAGAACCTGAATCCTCACTGCTCTGTCCTGACCCATATGCCCTGTGCATGCCCATCTCCTGGCCCATTCTGATTCATTTTATACACCTCCCTGCCACCTTAGACCACAGGAGTACTAATGCCTCAGCCATTCCTCCACTTAGGGTTGCTGGAATAGTACAGCAAACAAAACCTCACCCCAAGCACTCTAACACACTTTCCTCACAGCCCCACTGCCACCTGCCTTTTGCTGCTTCCCTTCCTTTCCTCTCTGGGGTTCCCCTCTGGCTTCACTTAGCCTGTCATGATGGTGGGGGAAGGAGCATCAGCAGGGACTCCCGAGATGGGGTGTACCCCAGGGCGAGCCATCTGAGTCCTGCCTGCTGAGCTCCTTCCTCCTGCAGATTTGTACTCTCCAGAGAGCTTGTGCAAAGCTGGAGGCACCTGCGAAAGAGATAACCAAACCATTTTTCTGAGCCAGGCTTATGAATTTAGGGTCCTGGAGGTAAGAGGGGGACAGAAAAGCCCAGGCTGAGAATCAGTAGACTCAGGTTCCGGCCCCCATTCTACCACTCTCTGGGCCTCAGTTTCCCCATTTGTATAGTGGGACATAAGTCCTACTGGTCTCTTGGGCCACATCCAGAGAGGTTCTGGAAGTGGACAGGGTCCCTGCTCCAGGAGTGGCTGGGGAAGGACCTGATGCCCATGGGGCCATCTGCAGGTGGCGCCTGGGAGGCATACGGAGCTATAATCCTGAGCAGATCATGCTGAGCGCTGCAGTGCACCGGACCAGCCGGGACGTCAGCATCATGAAGGAGAAGCTCATCTTCTCAGGTGAGCAGTCTACAGGCAGGCAGGCCAGGGTGCATACAGGCAGCACATGCAGGCAGGGAATGGACAGCCATGGGGGTTCCCACCCATGCACATAAGGAGGTGCATGCACACACACACCTCTGTGTGCAGTCAACTCCAGATCCTGTGGCTCAGTGTCAGTGCAATGGTTGTTGGCCCAGGGTGACGTGTAGGTTGGGGAGGGAATCTGTTTGGGAGATCCATCTCCATCTGCCTGGTCTTAAACAGATCCCATAAATAATGATTTTCCCCCTGCTACCAGCCCTTACTGACATTCCCAGTCAGATGCAGGAGGGAGCTGTGTAGACAGGGACATGGAAAATAGGTGTCCTTAGGACTCTCAAAGTGAGGTGCTGAGAGTATGTTCAGAACTCCCTGGGGCATTGAGGAAGGATTAGGGCAATGATGGCTCAGAATGTGGAGGGTGGTAGGAGGTGCCTGGATAATGGTTGGGTTGAAGGCTGGGTGAAGGAGGGACAGCTGTGCTCAGAGGCAGTGAGGGAGCACTGTTTGGGCACTGAAATTACACAGCACTCAACAGGCCGAGTCCACTCCACAGACTTTTCTTGAGCCCCTGCTTCATGCCCAGCACTGCCAGCACCAGAGCACAGATGTCCTAGAGATGCTGTGCTCAATGGGGACGGCATCCACGCAGAATGTGACCAGATTGGAGGGATAGAAGGGTTTCCCTGACAGATGTGACATGGGGGAGGTCCCATCCCAGCTGGGGACTCAGGGGGCTTCCAGGAACTATCATTACAGATGAGAAGATGTGAGCCAGATTTTAGGACAAGGAAGTGTTCATGGGGAGCTCATTCCCAAGAGAGGGGCCAGTATGTGCAAAGGCCCTGAAGAGAATAAACACTGGGAACAAGCTCAAGGAGTACAGATGGTTTTCTGTGGCTGGAGGATAGAGTTCCAAGGGACAAGCGAATGGCCCAGACAGAAGGTTCAGCAGAGACCAAGGAGGGCCTGGAATGCCAGGCTCCATGCCAGCCAGCCAGTGGGTACATCAGTCTCCAGTGCCCTGCACAGCCCCTGCCCACCCTATCAGCCATCCAGTGGCCCCTTGTTCTCTCCCACTCACATTCTGTTTTCCTTTGGCCCACAGAGATAAGCGATGGTGTGGAGGTCTCGGATGAGCTCTCCATGTGTTCAGACAGCAGTTACGACACATACGCCAACAGCACTGCCACCCCTTTGGGCCCCCGAGGGGGTGGCAGCCACGCCAAGACTCTTGCGGACCGGGGTGGGCATTAGCTGAAGACTCTCTGTCCCCAGCCTGTACCTAATGTAGAAACATGGGGCGCTCAGGAGGCTGGCAGAAGAGTGTCTACACTTGGAGTGCTCTGGGAGCTGGCTCCATGGGCTCCAGGCCGTTGGAGGGGATTGCCTCTCCCCTGACCAGGACTCCAGCCTCCCAGATGCCCCTGCAGGCCTGGGCCTCCTTCTGGGAAGTACAGAGCCTGGTCCCCAACGTCTATTCTCATGGCCCTCCTGCATAGCCCAGCGTGGAAACTCTGATGGGTCACTGGGTCGTGTCATGTCCCCTGGGGCAGTAGATGTGGATGCTCACCCTTGCCCACGTGTGTCTGCCCACCTGTCCGTGCCATGAGGCAAACTTCTCTGTTTTTATCCTGCCTTGAGGACCTGGGCTGGGCCTTTCCCCCAGCTCCTGGCAGCTCTGTTCCCACATCAGTCTCAAAGCACAAGGAGGTTCAGCCCAGGAGGAAAGCAAGAGGTCATGACATGTTCTCCTCCCCGACCAGCCTCTCACAACCGTTGACCCCTGCCCCAGCAGAGGACTTCAGCCATGTCCCCTAAGAGCAACTGAAGAAGGCCAGAAGTGCAGGCTCAGGCTGCTCTGTCCCACACACAAATGTCCAGCAGGCCTCTGGGCAGAAGTAGTCCTGGGACCCAGGAGACCTCAGGTTCCCACATTAGCAGCCACAGGGCAGGGGCCACCTGGGAAACGTCTCAGCATAGTCAAGCATGGGCACGTGGCTGAGCTGGTTTGCAGTGGAGGGAGCCTAGGGCCTCAGCCAGGATGATTAAAGCTGCCATCTTGATGTGTGTTGTCTGCATTGTCAGCAGGAGGGTGGGGGCAGAGTGTGTTGGGTTTGAGGTTAGGTGTGACCCCATGATTGGAGAAGGAACCACTCTTGGAAAGGAATGGGAAAATAGTAGGATGGTGGAGCCCCTACTCTGTGTCAGCCAGGATGCCAGAGGTTCTCTAACAGCCTGGGGTGGACAGGACACTTGGAGTGGTAAAGTAACATCCCAGGGCCACACTGCATTGAAGGGGTAAAGCCAGGATCCTACCTAGATTCTGACCCCAGCCCCTGAATATCTTCCATACCTAGCAGACAGGGAGGGTTCTTGCATCTGATGCAGGACTGAGGAATGGTAACAGCAGGTTCTCACAGTCACAGAGGTCCCCTGTGTATGGATAGACAAGCCCACAACCCAGAGATGCCTCTTTCCTAGGGGAGAGGGGTTTACTCTGTCCTAAGAGTATATGTCTTTGGTATGTCCTAAAGGAAAAGCAGGAGGCTGAACCCCTGTTCTAGCCTGCACTTAGTATACCATGGTCACTGGTAGCCAAGGGTCTTGTCTCTTGTCCAAACCAGGGTTTTCTTGATGGAATTCTTGGAGTCTGAGAGATTGTGGCACCTTCTTGGGAGAAAGGAAAAGACCCTCTTCCAAATGCTGGCTGCTCCAGAGCCAGCCCCCCCCCCATTAACCTCTAGGACAGCCCCTTGGGGCTGAGGGCATTCATATATTCACTTGCCACTGAACATCTCACAAGCACTTCCCTTCCTGGGGTAGAAGTCAACTCCCACCTGTCCTGGACACAGGCATGAGTGAAACCCAGAACTACTTGGGCAGGAGCAGGCACTGCCCTTTCTGAAATTCCCCCAGTGAACTCCTTTCTAGCTTCTGGCAGCCCAACCAAGAAAGAGGACAGATCTCTCATGCCACTCACTCCTGGTCTCACAGGCCAGGGTATCCAAGGCTCCTGGCCATATTTGGCAAGCCTGTCCCCATCCTCAAAGGATCTCCACCCCAGCTCATCGCCTATGACCTGAGGGATTACTAAAAACCCCACCTTCCTGCTGCCCTCCTGAGACTCCCCTGTCAGCAGAGGACAGTGCACTGCTTCTTTACAGGGAAACATCCTGGTAAACCACTCCTCTCCTCGTCCCTCAGAGGGTGAACTTTCTCCTGGCTATGCCCACCTTCCACCTCTTCCAGGTCCCTCCTGCCGGTGAAGAGATGTGAAGATGCCCAAACCTCACATCCTTTAACAAACCAGACACAAAACTCTTTTGGTGTATAAAAGTGTTCTCCATTTCCTGTAGCTGGGCTCATGGGGCAGGCTGGCCAGGTCTCAGGACACATGAGGGGCCAAGATCACAGTAAGCCCTCCCATCAGCTCCTTCCACAAAGTTGCCTGAGCTAGGCCAGGGCAGACTCCTACCACACCTGGCCTCCATGAAGGTGATACCATATGGCATGTGGCTTGCACCCACCCTGTTCTGAACATCTTAGTGACCCAAAGTGATAGGCACAACCAGGGTCTCCATTAGCCTCCTAAGATGATGAGATGAACCAGGCTCTTGTCAAGGCAAGCTCCTCCCCAAAGCACTGCTTCCTTTCAAAAGGACAAATCCCTCATTCACCACGGATACCAGATTCTGTGGCTGTTTGTGGTGACAGCAAATGATCCAGCACCAGCCCATGACATCCCCTTCTTCTGGCTCCATGAGGCCAGGCTAGCCCAGAGCTGCCTCATTCCTCCACGCAAATCACTCCACCCACACCCTGTCCCACTATGACACCCAAGGGATACTCACCCCTCCGTGCACAACACACCTCAGACACAGGACCACACAGCATGCACACAGACACCTGTCATACACATGTGTGGGTACATCCCATGGATATACACACTCCTGTGACACACATGGAGACATGAAACCCTGGCACAAAAACGAGCAATCACCTACAGACACAATGGGACAGAGTCACACAAAGTCTCAGAACAATACCTCTGCAGTTAAGCAGGAACGCAGCATAGTCACACAGGTGCAGAAGGAGAGAAAACTCAATCCATTCTGTGGCAGTCACTTTTTGGGTCATATCTGTAGCTACATGGCCATACAACCACATGTCCACACCACCCCAGAGCTACACAGTCATTATGTCCTATACACTCCCACATTCACAAGTAGGTATCCTGGACACTTAGGTTAACAACTACCCCAACCACCTAAGACAAACACAGCCCCTACACACCTGCTTCATTCAGGAACGAGGCTAGCACCAGGTCGTCCCCAATCCCAAGCACACCAGATTGCAGAGTTGCACACACAGCCAATCTCATGCTTATTACTTCCCCCTCCCTCCTGGGACTGGTCCAAGGGTAGAACAAAAGCCCGTCGTCCACCCCTCCTCCTCCCCTTTCCTCCTCTCCCCCTCCCCTTTCCTCCTCTCTCCCTGGCGTCCAGCCCCTTTGTCCTCCCTCAATTGAGTCCTAGCGGGAGTCTGGGCAGAGTGGCAGGGACATTGTTAGCGCCGGGCTGGCCGGCATAGACAGCAGGCACAAACCAGAGAAGAGTAGTCCCTGTGCAAGCGGCGGGCGCCAGAGCCCCTGAGAGGGGGCGTGGCCAGGTAAGCGCCAGGTACTTGGGGGCAGGGCTTGGGATGCAGGCTGCCGGCTGTGTGGTGTTTCAGTCTGAGGATTTATACATATGTCGATAAAAAGGAGTTAGGGGCGGTTATGTGTTGAGACAACATCCACAAGCTGGGTGTCTCAGTCTGCGTCATGACCATTGGCTTGACGCCCTTAGGGAGCGTGTTTTATGCAGTTCCACCTGGGAATTCCTTCCTTTCCATGTTGGCACTGGGTGATCTTCAGTCCCCAGAATGGGAATCCCCTGGGTGGAAACTCAGTCTCAGGTCGCTATCGCTGTGTGCCCATGGTTCAAAGTGCCTAGAGTTGTAGACAGCACTAGAATGAATAAGTATGGGTACACTTCTCAGGAGGGTTCCTTTCCTCCACACAGAAAGTCCCCACCCTGCCCTGCCACATCGTAGTGGGAGAAGTCCCTCTTTATGCTGATGAGATCTGCCCTCTTGCATCTCAGCTCGGAGTGTAACTGTGTCCTAGACTGGAGCTAGCATGTGCAGGTGACCTGTCTCACCTCCCTCCTTGGGTCCCCAGCTGCTCCTTGGGGACATGCCTCACTCTTGAAGTGTGGCTAGAGTAGCTAGACATGCAGAGACTAAGCTGGCTGGGTTCAGAACCCAACCTGTGTACTTGGACAAAATTAGCTGATCTCTTTGTCTGCTGAGGAGCTCATTTATCCTGATGCTGAGGCAGGAAATCCACTGCCCAAGATGACCCAGTGAGCCATGAAAGCCAGGCTGACACTGGGCAGGATCTGAGTTCCAGAGGTCAGAATGAGCTGAGCAGCAGAGATCAGAATGGAGAGAGAAGCAAAGGACTGAGCCGAGTTCCCCTGGAGTAAGGCGCCACATAAAGGAGAGAACTCCCTGCCCCCAGAATTGTGCAAACAGAGGCTGTGTGTTCAGCAGGGCTGAATCCTAACCATCACCTGAACAGCCCGTTAGAAGTCTGTGGCGTGCTCTACAAATAGACCTCCTTGGACCCTCCTAGCAAACCTCTGAAGGGCAGCTTCCCTCTGTGTACCTGTTTCCACACAACAAACTTAAAAGTGTGTATGTGACTAAAGATACTTCTCAGGGCTGTGAGGGTCAAGTTAAATTATGTAAACAGCAACCAATACACTGTGGTGGAGTCCCTTTCATAGGAGTAAACACAAGGCAAGGTAACATTTACTGAGCATGTACTACTACCTACCTAGCACTTTTCATTTATGCCATTTACAACTTTGGGGAAAGGCATTATGTTCCTGTTTCAGAAGACACCGGGGTGGGGAGAGTGACTTTCCTAGAGGGGTCACATAATGCCAGGTGAAGGACCAGAACCCCACTGGGTCCTTAGAGCTTGGTTCTTCCCACTTCCCTGAAGCAGGAGAGAGCCTACCTCTACTCCCTTGCCTTCACTTAGATAATTCTACCCATCTTTCTCCATTTGAAGCTCCCCTCTTAGGAACCTCTTCTCTGATACCCCCAACTTGGTTTATTGCCCCTTTTATGAATTCCCCTAATTCTCCACAACTCCCCAGGAGACTCCTGCCAGGCTGTGAGCCCTGGGAAGGTCTCAGGGACTGTGGTTGTTTTGCTCACTGTCTGGAACAGAAATACTGTAAGTCACAATAAATATGTAATATGTCATTTGACATTGAATAGGTATCGCGCACCTACTATAGCTCAATTTGTGTGTGTGGCGCGGGCGAGATGAATGGAATAGAATCAGGGTTTGGTCAGTAGGAAGAACTAAAGGAGATTTGCAGAAGACAGGATGGACAGGAAGTAGTTATTACATGCATGCCCTCATGCACACATATGCATGACACTCTGGGGTGGTCCGAAAACATGTCACAGGACTCTCCCTATACTGGTATTTTGTACAGGCTCCAGTAGTCTCCCTGCCTTCCCGCTCAAGGCGTGGAGGTAAAGGCTCCCTGTGGTTGATCCACATGGCTCGGCACTATGTGGAGTCCCTAAATATTGCCTAGACTGTTGTAAATCGTGCCTCTGTTGGACTCCTCAAATTACTCTATTTGAGAGCCTACCATCTGTCCCTTGCAAAGACGGATGGGAAAAAGCCTAGTGAGTCTGGAGAAAAGAAACGGGCAATATGGCTGAAGTAGGTAATTGGGGAAGGTGGTACTGATAAGGCACGGGCTAGATCATAGCCAGAAGGCGATGGGATGGTCAGATGGAAGAGTATGTAATCGAATGCAAATGTGAACGAAATAAGGAATACAGGGAGGGGTGTGCCATGAGCTAGGCCTCTGGTCCCTTAAGCGGGCCAGGCCAGGAGGATTTCCCGACCATATTTGTGTTCTCTACCTGGCAGGATGCGGGAGGCCTCGGAGCCGGAGGAGCCGGAGCCCGGCTGCGAGGCGCCGTGCGCGGCGTCCTGCCACGCACAGCGCG